GAAGGAAGGAAGGAAGGAAGGAAGGAAGGAAGGAAGGAAGGAAGGAAGGGCACTAGCACTTAGACTTATATTCCACTTCACAGTGCTTTCCAGTATCCCTAAGTGATTTACAATCAGCCTCTTGCCTCCAACAATCTGGGTCCTCATTTTACCCACCTTGGAAGGATGGAAGGCTGAGTCAACCTTGAGCCTGGTGACAATCGAACGGCTGGCAAGGCAGAGTTAGCCTGCAATACTGCCTTCTGACCACTGTGCCAACATGGCTCTCTTCTCAAAGAGAGAGGGTGATGGAGAAGCCAGAAGCTACCCAAACCCAGAGGGGGTTTAAGCTGCGTGGCCAGCAATGGCTCCGTGTCCTCAGATGAGAGGCGCAGACCTAGCAGATTGGAGAAAATCAGGGAGGGACTTTGCTTAATTGTGGGAAAAAAGCATCTTCACAATGTGTCCTTGGTCCAGGTTTACGACAGCCCTGCAATGATGGGCAAGACTGCCAACAGTGGAGCCCATGAAATCTACGATGTGCCGCCCAGCGTGGAGAAGAACCTTCAAGTGGTGAGTGGTTTAGCTAGCTGGAAGGGATCTGGAGAAGGGGTAGTGCGGTGGAGCCCATGTAAGGCCGCTGGTGGCGAAGGACGCTGAGCTTCTTGATCAGAAAGGTTGGCAGTTCGGCGGTTCGAATCCCTAGAGCCGCGTAACGGAGTGAGCTCCTGTTCCTTGTCCCACCTTCTGCCAACCTAGCAGTTCGAAAGCAAGTAAAAAATGCAAGTAGAAAAACAGGAACCCCTTTGGTGGGAAGGGAATAGCGTTCCGTGTGCCTTCGGTGTTTAGTCCTGCTGGCCACATGACCACGGAGACGTCTTTGGACAGTGCTGGCTCTTCGGCTTTGTAACGGAGAGGAGCAGCGCCCCCTAGAGCCAGAAAACGACTAGCACGTAGTATGTGCGAGGGGAACCTTAACCTTTAAGGGACACCAGTCCACTGGACGGCACAGAAGGCCTTTCGGCAAGGCCGGGATTTAGCCATCATGAGTCCTCCGTGGGTTTGCCTTTGTGTATCACGAGAAAACCTCTCCTGTGTACAGACCTCAACGGAATTTTCTGAAAATTTATGTTGCTAAGTGTGACGGTCGTCCAGTGAGGTCTGCCCCATTTTGACAGTCTTTCTCGTGACTGGAAACAGCTGCTTCGGACCTGTCTTTTACAGGGAGTCCCCGACTTACAGCCACAACGAAGCCCAAAATTGCCGTCGCTAAGTTCAGCGAATTTGGCCCCATTTTAAATCTTCCTTGCCACTGTTGTGAAGTGAATTGCTCCAGTTGTTTAAGTTAGTAACCTGGTTGTTAAGCGAATCCGCCTTCCTCATTGACTTTGCTCTTTGGATGGTCGCAAAAGGGGATCACACAACCCCGGGACACTGCAACCATCATAAATATGGGTCAGTTCCCAAGCATATGAATTTTGATCATGTGACCGTGGAGATGCTGCAATGGTCGTAAGTGTGAAAAACAGTCATAAACAACTTTTTTCAGTGCCGTTGTAACTTTGAATGGTCGCTACATGGAGTCCTTGACATATCACCACAATTGCCAAGCATCCAAATTTTGATCCTGGGGATGTTGCCATGTCCGTAAGTGGGAAAAATGGTCGTGAGTCATTGTTTTTTTCATTGCCATTGAAACTCTAAAAGGTCACTAAATGAACTGTTGTAAGTCAAAGACTAGCTGTATATCCTTCCTGCCTATGCATGACTGACTCAGCCTCCTTTGCTGGAGCCTGGATTTGACCCGGTGTAACTGTAGGTGGGAAGAGCACAGATGGGACAGCAGAGCCTGTAGCTGGAGACAGGTAGTCCTTGACTTACGTCCATTCATTTAGTGACCACTCAAAATTACAACAGCACCCCAAAAAGTGACTTATGACCATTCCTTGCCCTTATTTTTTGACCAAACATTTTTTATTAGGTTATTAAGTATTATACAACGCAAAATACAAAAGTAAATAACAGAACAATGAGGAGGAAAGGGGGAAGAGAAGAGAGGAAAAATAGAGAATAGAAAAGAAAAAGAAGCATTGACTTCCAACTCTCTCTGTTGCAGTAGAATAAGGCATTAGCATCAAATCGCCGCTTTTTGCTTTTCCATAATAATATGAACCAGTCACTCCTATAAAGATCTTATCAGTCTAATCTATAAAACCCAAAGTCGAAGTTTCATTCTTTTCCACATCAAGCACAAAGTTCAGAAGCGGTTTCCATGTGGAAACCAAAGTACTTGTGTCCTTTTCTTTAATCCAAGGGGTTAATTTTGCCATTTCATCCAACTCCCATCAACTTCTGCAACCCTTCTTCCACAGTAGGTATCCAAGTGTCTTTCCATGTTTGCGCATAACAATAGTCCTTGCACTTTATGACCGTTGCAACGTCCCCATGGTCACGCGATTAAAATTTCAGGCACTTGGCAGCCGACCTGTTTTCAATGACAGATGCAACATTCCCGGGTTGTGGTTGCCGTTCACTGCTTTCCCAGCTGGCTTCTGACAGGGAGCGCCACGTTTGCTTAAACCACCACATGATTTCCTTAACCACTAGTCGCTCGCTTAAAATCCATGGCAAGAATAGGTGGTAAAGTCATGTATGGACTCACCGCCTTGCTTAGCCATTCTGAGCCCAAACTGTGCTCGTAAGCAGTGGTGGAATTCAGCCGGTTCACACCGGTTCTCGAGAACGGGTTGTTAACTTTCTAGTTTACCAAACTGGTGGTTGGAAGAAATCATTAGCGGCAGAGAACCAGTTGTTAAATTATTTAACACCACTGGTCGTAAGTCGAGGATTTATCTGCACCCTAAAATTAAGTCACAGAACAACAAAATTCCGGTTGCAAAATTCGACCCCGAGGTGCCGAAGGACTGTATCTTTGACTCCTTGGTGTTTGTAAAGTGGAGGAGGAGAAATGTTGGAGCATTGCTAGTTTTTATGACTCCTGATATTTATGGGTCCTTCGAAGCCCCCTCGATACGCCCCCTCGATATGGCCGATTAAAATCAGGCAGGGAATTGTTAAAACTGGGCCTTGTGCCACCTGCTCCTTTGGTTGACGCTTTCCTTGCTGGCAGGAGTTGGTGTTTCTGTATATTCTGTGCCTAGAGGACACACACACACATACACACTTGTGTCACACCCTTGTTCTCCAAGGTAATAAAGCAATTATTAACTTCCCTGACCTTTGTTTTACACGCACGTCCTTGACGCAAAGCGGAACTGACAATTCCTTTCTCAATCTAATCCGAAAGGGGAAAAAAAATAAACGTTGCAGTCCCTTAATCCAATGGCCCTCAGTACCTGTGAGCCACGGTTTCCCCAACGCTTAAAGTGTTTGCTTACCGATCACAGGTTTCGTTTTAACCCCGTTGTGGTTCGCTTGACAACACTGACAGAAGGAAGGCGTAAAAATTAGACCAAAAGGTTCACTTAACAACCAGCTTGCTCAGCAGTGGAAATCCTGGTCCCGATTGTCATCGTCACCCGAGGAGCCCCTGCAGTGATTGGGGCCAGAGTCTCAGGAGACACGTGCACTGCTTTCTGGGGCTGTAAATGAGATGGGAGGGGGGTTTAATCAGGGGCGGGCCGGTACCGGTTCTCCCAGGTTGCGGCAAACTGGTACCAAACCGCTAACTCATTTTATGGCCAGTTCAGCAAACCGGCAAATCACACCCCTGGCTGGCCCTCCCCTCCCCTGCCCTGCCCTCCACGGAGTCCCCACATGGGTGAAAAACGGGCATCCCAGAAGCTCGGGAAGGCTGGAAATGGGCCCATTTCTGGCTTCCCGGGAGCTTGTGGAGCCCGGGGAGGCCGTTTTCACCCTCCCGGAGGCTCAAGAAAGGCCTCCGGAGCCCGGGGAGGGCAAAAACACCCCCCGCCGCCATGGTGCAGGAGGCCAACTAGGCCACGCCCACCATGGCCAACCTCACCAAGCAACAACTGGGCAGAGAACCCGTGGTTAACATTTTTGATGCCTGCTCCTGAATTTAAGCTTGTTGCTGGCCTGGTGGGCAAACCATGTTACGAATCACAACCAGTTGAGTTAATTCCACTTAATTGGGAGCCTTCGTGCACAGAATCTCCCAAATTCTTAAACAGTACAACTCTGAGCTTTTTCCCTGCTCGTTCTCCTGCTCTGGGCTACACAGGTACTCCTCGACTTACAACAGTTCGTTTAGTGGCTGTTCGAAGTGACAAGGGCACTGGACAAAGGGACTTACGGCCATTTTTCACACCTTTGCAGCCTCCCCGGGGTCACGTGATCCAAATTCAAATCCTTGGCAAGCGACTCCTATTTATGACGGTTGCGGTGTCCTGGGGTCATGTGATCACCCTTTAGAGACCTTCTGGCAAGCAGTCCATGGGGAAGCCAGATTCACTTAATGACCGGGTTATTAACTTACCAACTGCAGTGATTCAGTTAGGAACTGTGGCAAGAAAAGTCATAAAATGGGGCAACATTCACTTAACAACTGTCTCCCTTAGTAACGGAAATGTTGGGCTCAATTGTGGTCATACATTGAGGACTATCTGTATTCATCCAAGAATCTGGTCTTTTGAAGAAAAAAAAAACTCTCTAGTCCGGTGGTCGCCAACTGGTGGGCCGGGGACCACTGGTGGTCCACAAGAAAATTTTGGTGGTCCGGAGAGAAATGTCCCCCCCCCCAAAGGAATTAATCCAGGCTGCGCAGGAACACAAGACTGCGCTGCCCACATGGCCTGCCCACCTACTGGCCCCCACCCTCCGGCCGAGCGCAAACCTTACATTGAGTAGAGCCACGCGAGCTGGAAGGTAAGACCAACAGCAGGGGAAGGAAATCCAACCTGGGGTGGTTTGCTGATGGTGCGAAAGTCGGTCCTATATTCCAGAGCTGCTGGAGTCACAGGATTGGCCTTCTGGTCATCCCGGAGCAGCTGCTCCTCCACCCGGGTACACCGGCCTGCTATGGACTGGAGGAGCAGCTGCTCCGGGATGACCAGAGGGCCAGTCCTGTGACTCCGGCAGCTCTGGAATACAGGACCGACTTTCGCACCAACATCAGCAAACCACCATTAGTCAAGATTCATATTAGTGGTCCGCGGGATTTAAAACTATGAGTTTGGTGGTCCCTGAGGTTCAAAAGGTTGGCGACCCCTGGTCTAGGAAGTATTTCTACCAGATTTCATTTTCTTCCTGTTTCATGAGGACAAGTTAAGATAAACAAAACAAGAAGGGTGTGACAATACACCCTCACTTGCGATACATTTACGACTGCTCATTTAGCATTTGAGTCAAAGTTACGAAAGTCCTCCTTCCGGCTATTTATGACCTGGATAGAAAGTTCTATCCGCCAGGCCTTTGCCCGTCATACCAGTAAACTGTGCAATCGGCAACTTAACCACTGTTATGTTGCTGCAAAAAGTGTTGCAACATCTGGTTGGTTACACGCCTCATTTTACAACTTTTACTTCTTACGACTGTACTGGGCAGGCTCCATTACGGTTGTATGTCAAGGACTACCTGTACTAGGAGTTTTAACCTTGGCAACTTTAAGACTTGTGCATTTCAACTCCCAGAATTCCTCAGCCAACAAGACTTGTGGACTTCAACTCCCAGAATTCCAGGAAAGCTGGCTGAGGAATCCTGGGAGTTGAAGTCCACAAGTCTTAAAGCTGCCAAGGTTGGAGACCCCTGACCTGTACAGAGTTGGAACAGTTGGCTGATTTATCTTTGCAGGTATACGACATCCCTCCCTCGGTCAGCAAGGATGTCCCAGATGGCCCCCTGAGGGAGGAGACCTACGACGTGCCCCCTGCCTTCTGCAAGGTGAAGCCCTTTGACCCTTTGCGCCATCCGCTCATCCTAGCCCCGCCTTTGGTGCCCCTGGCGGAGCCACCCTTGCCCGAAGACGTCTACGATGTGCCTCCACCCGCCACGAAAGGGGTGTCGGAAGCGCAGGAGATCTACGATGTCCCACCAGGGCTGAGAAAACTGGCCAGCCAGGAGGTGTACGATGTGCCCCGAGAGCTGACAATCTGCAGTAAAGACGGAGAAGCTGACTACATCTACGACGTGCCCCCGCAGGCCGATCGGGCTGATAGCAAGCGGCTTTCAGCCTCCAGCACGGGCAGCACCCGCAGCAACCTTTCCAATTCTTCTCTGGACATGGTGCCTGTTCGGGAAGCTCCGGACAAGGAGTTACCCCTCGACCAAGACGTTGCCATGGAGACGCTGGCCCGGCTCCAGAGCAATGTCAACACAGCTGTCTCGTCACTCATGTCTTTCATCAGCGGCAGCTGGCGCAGCCCCGAGAGGATGGAGGCCCATGCGGGACACATCCGGGGGGCAGTGGATAGCGTCAAAGCGGCCCTCAGGGAACTGCTGGAATTTGCTCGTGGGGTGGTGGCTAGCGCCGCTCAGGCCTCCGACCGCTCCCTCTACTCCAAGCTCAGCAAGCAGGTGCAGAAGATGGAGGAGGTGTACCAGGCGCTACTACGGCATAGCCAGGCCTTGGAGGGTTGCGGTTGGGCCCCTAGCGCCCTGGTAGCTGGCAAGTCAGGGGCGCCGGATGACCTCGAGCACCTGGTCATGTACTCACGGGGGGTGCCGGACGACACCAAGCAGCTGGCCTCCTTCCTTCACGGCAATGCCTCGTTGCTCTTCAGACGGACCAGGGGGTCCCCGGCCTCCTCGGGGGAGGGCAGCCACCCCCACGGCACGCCCTCTGAGAAGGCCAGCAACATCCAGTCACGGCCCTTGCCTTCTCCGCCCAAGTTCCTGGCCCAGGACTCGCCCGACGGGCAATACGAGAACAGCGAGGGCGGCTGGATGGAGGATTATGACTACGTGCATCTCCAGGTGGGCTTGGCCTTGGGGCAGGAGGGCTGGAAGGGAAAGGCAAGTCAGGGGAAGGATTTGTCCCCCTCACACAGTTGGAAATGCTCCCACGACTGGGTGATCACATTTGGTAGGTTCATGCTGCATGCAGGGGTGGGATTCTACCGGTTTGGACCAGTTTGGGCGAACTGGATGTTAAATTTACATCTGGTTCACCCAACTGGTAGTTGAACTAACCGGCTGTCCCCTGCTCCTCCCAGGAATCTCCACATGGTCCATTTTGGATGCAGGTAAGTGCAGGGTCTGTGTGGAGGCTCTGGGAGGATGAAAAATGGGCCAAACCGGAAGTTCTGGAAGTCCGGAAATGAGCCTGATTCCGGCTGCTGGAGGCCGAGGCTGTTTTCACCCTCCCAGAGGCCTGAGGAAAGCCTCCGGACTCTGGGGAAGGTGAAAAACGGCTTCCCAGAAGTTCCGGTAGGCCATGCCCGCCATGGCCACGCCCAGCCAGCAACCAGGCAGCGAACCGGTTGCTGAGATTTTTGAATCCCACTCTTGGCTGCATGCCAAATTGGTAATTTCTGGCACTTTCTGGCCAACCTTGGTTCATAGGATCTGGTTAGTGCTTGGATGAAGGCCCCAAAAAAGGTCTATAGAGTAGGAAGCTGAAAGCCCTTTCCAGAAGAAGGCAAACCTTTTCCATAAAATTCCTGAGGAAATTACACCCATTCAAAATGTCCACCCATTCAAAGCCAAACATATTGTGAAAACTTACCAATGGTCTTATGATGTCTAAACAGGGCTATGACATTAAGCCATAAAATGTGGCCGGTTTTTCTTGCATTTTAGGCAAATACAGTTTTATTTCCAACCTGGGGATAGGGTTTCAGATCTTAGATGACCCTAACCTTGATTCCTACTTCAAAGCTGGCCTCTGCTGTCAGAAGTCTAAAACGCTTGTTAGGATCAAGTTGATCAGTTGTGAATTTCTAGGTCTCCTTTCAAAAGAGTCTAGGAAAAAGAGATGAAATAGCAAAACCAAATCAAAAGCCTAAAAGTGGAAGGATGTTAACAATGTTAAATGTTTGGGGAGACAGCTTTATATCAAAAGTTTTCCCCTTGTGTCAAAAGTTGGCATTGACATCTGTCAGAAATGGGGTAGGGCAGTGGTAGCTAACCTTTTGGGGCTCCTGTGCCAAAAATTGTGTGTGCACTTGCACGCTTGCCCTTGCGTGCCAGCACCCAGAAGACAATGAGTGCCCCCCCATGACCCAGAAGCCATGTGTGCACAATCCCCATCCACCCACTCCCTGCCACCCCCTTACCTGCACTGCGCCTCACAGCTGATTTTCAGCCAGTTTGAGGCCCTTTTCAGCCTCCCAGAGGCTTGAGGAAGGCTTCTGCAGGCTTTGCAGGCCGAAAACAAGGCCCGTTTCATCACTTCCAGTATTTCCAGAAAAACAGGAAGTGACAAAACAGGCCTAGTTTTTGTCCTGAAAAGCCTGCAGAAGCCTTCCTCAAACCTGTGGGAGTCCGAAAAAGGCCTCAAACCGGATGAAAATGAACTATGAGGCGCGCGCATGCGTAGTGAGGTAAGTTTGCCTGCAGCTTGCATGCCGGCACAAATGGCTCTGCGTGCCACGGTTTAAGGTATTTTGCTTGGGCGTGTCAGCCTTCCAGCAAAACTCCATTCCATCCAATAACTCCAAAACAAACATCCTCTCAAAGGTTCCTTTTATTTGGATAGTAACTGACACCACTGGGGAATCCTGAATCTGAAAGTTCCGGGCTTCCTTTACAATACAAATCCAACTACAAATACAACAATACAATAATACAATACAATACAACTACAAATCCATCCCCTGCACCCATCACCACATCCCATGGCCCAATCACCATCCGTCCCAAGTTAAGACTTCCTTTCACTAGGCGCAACACAACCTGACCTTGAATCAGAAAAAGAATTTTATTATGTCTAACTAGATATACTACAATACATTTCCCCCCCCACCACTTTCCCAGGTTCAGATATGGCAGGTATGGGGCAGGTATCTCAGCAGGGGGGTGGGCGATTAATTTTCATGAGGGGGCCAACTGACTGAAGGACCCAACTTGACTTCTTCACCAAGACAAATTCCTTGTGTCTCCCATCGCACTTGGCCAATAAAGAAATTTATTCTATTCTATTTTCCCACCTCCCGTGATGTACTTGTTTACATTTGACTTCTACTTTCCAATTGACCTCAGGTGGGATGGAGGAGAGCCAGGTGACCTCAGGTGAGCCAAAGAGCCAGAAGTGGCTGGGGGTGGAGAGGCTTTGAAATGCCCAGATCTTCTCTGGAGACCCCTTCCTCTTTCTTCTCCCCACCCTCCACATTTTTAAATTAAGTTATAAGGTATTGTAAAATACAAAACGCAAATAAAATGAAAATGGGGGGAAGGGGAAAGAAAAGTGAGGAAGGATAGGGAAAGAAAAATAAAAAGAAGCATTGACCTCAGACCCCCTCTCTCTTCCAGTAGAATAAGGCATTAACAACAGATCACAACTTTTTGCCTTTGCATAATAGTATAAACAGGTCATATCTATAAATATCTATCAGTCTAATCTGTAAAACCCAAAGTACAGAATAGGATAGGATAGGATAGGATAGGATAGGATAGAATAGAATAGAATAGAATAGAATAGAATAGCCAAGTGTGATTGGACACAAAATAAATTTGTCTTTGGTGCAAATGCTCTCGGTGTACATAAAGGAAAAAACTACATTCATCAAGAATCGTAAGATTCTTAGTGATAATCATAGGATACTAATCAGCAATCCATCCATACTAAGAAACAAATGAAACAATATAAATTGTAAAGATACAAGCAACACGGTTATAGTCCTAAGTGGGAAGAGATAGGTACTAGGAAATGTTATAATCTAGTAGTAGAGGAATAATAGTAATACAATCTTAGTAAATAGTTGGACAATGTTGAGGGAATTATTTGTTTAGCAGAGCGATGGCTTTCAGGAAAAAAATGTCCTTGTGTCTAGTTGTTCTGGTGTGCGGTGCTCTATAGTGTCGTTTTGAGGGAAGGAATGGAAACAGTTTATGTCTGGGATGTGAGGGGTCTGTAGGGTTTCATTCTTTTCCACATCAAACATGAAGTTCAGAAGTGGTTTCCATGTGGAAACCGAAGTACTTGTGTTCTTTTCTTTAATTCCAAGGGGTCAGTTTTGCCATTTCAGCCAAGTCCCATCCACTTTTGCAGTCCATGGTAGGAATTCCACTGACCTCTTCCGTTGTGTCTCGATTAGGGGAAGGAGGAGTTTGAGAAGACCCAGAAAGAGCTGCTGGAACGAGGCAACATAATTCGGCAGGGCAAAGGACAACTGGAGCAGCAGCAGGTCTGTAGGGGAATACTCTCTCTTGCACACACACGCGCACACGCACACACACACACACCCAAGCTTATGGCCATCTCTTCTGGCTCACAACCATCCTAAGTCTTTGCCTGCTTTGCAAAGAGCAATTTCTGGGTGAGACACACAAAAAAAGAAAGCAATGTGTAGTCCTCCAGTCACAATTCTTTCTCGACGGGTAGTCCTCAACTTATGACTGGTCGTTGAACGATGTTCAAAGTTACGACTCAAAAAGGCTACTGATGACCCATCCACAAATTTACAATGGCTGCCCACCTTCCGTAGTTCTATTATCACATTTTGGGTGCTGGGCAACTGACTCACATTTACGATGGGTTGCAAGCGTTGAGTCCGGTTATGTAATGCCTCAATTTACAACTGCAGTGACTTACAACCAAAATTCCGGGTTATGATTGTAAGTCGAGGGCAATCTGAACTTATTTCTAAAACAACAAGCATGGGATTGTTGTGTAGCCTTTTGTGTAAAAAATGTCTTTGATCAGCCTAATGCAGTACTGCAGGCTACTTCTGCTGACTGCCGGCTGCCTGCAGTTAGGCAGTTTGATTCTCACTGGCTCAAGGTTCATTCGGCCTTCGGTCTTTCTGAAGTTGGTAAAACAAGGACCCAGATTGTTGGGGGCAAAGAGGACCCAGATAAACCGCTTAGAGAGGGCTGGAAAGCACTGTGAAGCGGTATATAAGTCTAAGTGCTATTGCTCTTCCTCCCTTCCTTCCTCCCTCCCTCCTTCCTTTCCTCCCTCTATTCCTTCTTTCCTTCCTCCCTTCCTTCCTTCCTCTCTCTATCCCTCAGCCTTCCGTCCTTCTGTGGTAGATAAAATGAGGACCCCGATTGTTGGGGGTAAGAAGCTGACTCTATAAACCGCTTAGAGAGGGCTGGAAAGCACTGTGAAGCGGTATAGAAGTCTAAGTGCTATTGCAATTGCTAATCAGCAAGAAATCCTCATGTCACTTTGTGATTTTTTTCAGATGTCAGTTTTAAAAATTATCATTAATTATGGCATCTCCTACCTTTCTGCCAGGAGTTGCTACTGTATTTCCCCCAAAATAAAACTGGGTCTTATATTAATTTTTGCTCCAAAAGATGCATTGGGGCTTATTTTCCAGTTAGGTCTTATTTTTGGGAAATACGGTACTAAATGTGTCCATCTGGCTATGAGCTTAAGTGGGGCTTCTTTGGGTAGGGTAGGGCTTATATTACGAGCATCTGAAAAACTCACGCTAGGGCTTATTTTCCCATTAGGTCTTATTCTGGGGAAAATATGGTCTAAATGCATCCATCCGGCTGATCTTAACTGGGGCTTATTTGGGGGTGGGGGCAGGGCTTATATTATTAGCAGCCTGAGAAATCATTCTAGGGCTTATTTTCCAGTCGGGTCTTATTTTCAGGGAAACACGGTAGCTGAAGTTAGTTAAAATACCACATGCCTAACGATCCTAATGATCAACTTAATGAACTCCTCTATGGGCCGATAATTGCAGCTTTTGCAGACCGTCAGGGCAGGGGGCGAAGGGCTTGGCTTTCCTTGAAGTCTGCAGCCGGGCCGGTGTTCACCTTTGTCCTTTGCCCACAGCTGAAGCAATTTGAGCGCCTGGAACAGGAGGTCACCCGCCCTATCGACAATGACCTGTCCAGCTGGACACCCCCACAACACTACCCCCACCTGCGGGGTGGCGGCACAGCTCTGGGCCCCTCTGACCGGCAGCTGCTGCTTTTCTACCTGGAACAGTGCGAGGCCAACCTCACGACGTTGACGAACGCCGTGGACGCCTTCTTCACGGCCGTGAACACCAATCAGCCCCCCAAGATCTTCGTGGCGCACAGCAAATTCGTCATCCTGAGCGCCCACAAGCTGGTCTTCATCGGGGACACTCTGTCTCGCCAGGCAAAGGCCCAAGAGGTCCGCCAGAAAGTCACCCATTACAGCAACCTCCTCTGCGACATGCTCAAAGAGATCGTGGCCAGCACCAAGACCGCTGCCCTCCAGTACCCGTCCCCAGCCGCTGCCAAAGACATGGTGGAACGGGTGCACGAGTTGGCAAACAGCACTCAGCAGTTCCGGATGGTCTTGGGGCAACTGGCTGCCCTGTGAAGAAGCAGAGTTGTTCTTGGACAGAGTGAATGGACTGTAAATATTTTGTCCGGTTCACCCGCCCACTGAAGAAGGGTTGTGGTTGGGGGGCACCGACCTCCCCTTCCTTGGTAGACACTGACCACGGCAGTCCTGGATCCCTGACCCTCCCGCTCCAAGTCTTGCTCCAGCCAAGAAGACGGTCTCATCCCTCGCCACAATTGTAGAGGGCAAATAATTATATTTTCCTGTTTGATTCCAGAACTGTTTGGCTAACGATCACTATTTAAATCAAATAAAGAAATTTACAATCCAGCCTGTTGGAGCCTGAGAGAGAATCTTCTCCGTGGGGCATGAGTGAAAGTGAAAGAGAGGTGTGTGGGGGGGTGTTCAGGGGGTTCGGACCAGTGGTGGGATTCAAATTATTTTACTATTTATGGTTCTGTGGGCGTGGCTTGGTGGGCGTGGCAGGGGAAGGATATACTGCAAAATCCCCCTTCCCTCCCCACCCCACTAACCTGCTTTCCAGCTCCGTTCTCCTGTGCAGGGCAACCAAAGGAGACCCAGCCGATCAGCTGGGACTCAACGGGAGGCAGAGAAGGGATGGGGTTGGCGGGGCCAGTCAGAGGTGGGATTGGCTGAACTACTCAAAATTTCCGCTACTGGTTCTCCAGAACTGGTCAGAACCTGCTAAATACCACCTCTGGTTTGGACTAGTTCTTGCATCCAGCTAGAGAAAATGTGGACTGGTTTGGAGAACTGGTAGGAAAATTTTTGACTGCCCCACACCCACCCACCCACCCCCTCCCGCTCTTACTTCTCACCTCCCCTATATCCTGTTGTTTCTTAGCTCAGCTGATTCCCGCAGCAGAGCAGATTGCCGCGCCTCAGCTGAGCTAAAAAAAAAAGCTGCTGATGGTCGGTGTTGCTGTTTACCTGCGTGTGAGATTACTTCCCGGAGTTAAAACACAAAATCGTAGGGCTGGAAGGGACCTTGAAGGTCATCTAGTCCAATTCCCTGTTCAGCTACTCCAGGAGGCAACTTGTTCCATTTAACAGTAACAGTAAAATAGAAGAACCGCTGACAATTTAACAGAAGAACCAGTTCAAGTTGGAGAGGATGCTTTGGACCGCGATTCAGGCTCTTCTCCTGAAGGGTTAGGAAAGTTTGCTGGTAGGTTGAAAGGTATCGAGCCTGGAAATAAGGTGGAGGGCATTTTCCATCTCATGTAGTTGGAAGGGGGAGAAACAGCAGGATTCAAGTGTCTCTCGTTGCCATCCATAACACACCTTCCCCAAATCCTGAAATCACTCTTCAATCAAAGGATTTTCGGAAGAAAGGGGAAGAGGGAGGGAGGGAGCGAGGGAGGGAGGAAGGAAGGAAGGAAGGAAGGAAGTGAAGGAGAGAGAGAAAGAGAGAAGCTCTGTAATTGGCCTGCCTCAGGTGACTTCTTGAAACCAGCTCCAGAATTTAGGACCTTAAGCTCCCCCTAGGAATGAGAAGCTGTGAGGGACAACCCATAATAAACCTGAAGCTCGAGTTTTGGCAGCCTTGCATCTTTTTCCAGAGCATTTGCTCCTTAACATTTATTTTGTTAATTTATATCTTCTCAAGGAGCTTCAGGCAAATCCCTCCTTCAGTTTTCTTGCCACAACCTTGTGAGGTAAGTGGGCCAGGAATTCACACCCATTGAACGTCTGTAACCGAGGGTGGACTTTGCTTCTCGCCCAACCTGTGAAGGTTGGAAAACATCAGCTGCAAACGAAGCCTTTTGTAGGGCCCTGGGGTAGAATTCCATCACTAAGGCCGGGTAATTAAATTATATTGAAGGTGTCCCGGGATTAATGCGATAGCTTGGATTTACTGTAGGTAACTTTTAATCGTTGTGTTATTGATCGCACTGATCTATTCTTCTGCACCCATTTATCTTAATCTTGAAGGCTTAAGATGAATTCCACTCCTTTGCATAGAGAGAACATCTGGATGGGGATTCTGCCGTAGACAATGATGGTCAAGAATACTAGCTCAGCCCAGATTTTTTTTTTTAAGGCACAGATGTCAATTTTGTAGAGTTAAGAGGGAAAACAGCCCTTCTTTGATGTGGCTGTTCACTTGGCTATGCTGAAAATTGCCTTCCCCAAACCTGTGGGACTGAGAGCCCATTTAGCCAAAGCCGGAAGACCTAATACCGCTCTTATCAAGCCTTAGTAAGACCACACCTAGAATATTGCATCCAATTTTGGTCACCACACCATCTTGGATCTTGGAGTCTTAGCAAACAACCAGTGTAAATATGAGCCAGCAGTGCGCGGCAGCAGCCAAAAAAGCCAATGCAATCCTAAGTTGCATTAATAGAGGGATGCAATCAAGATCAAGGGAGGTACTAATACCACTCTAAAGCTTTAGTAAGACCACACCTAGAGTACTGCATCCAGTTTTGGTCCCCACACTATAAAAATATTGAGACTCTAGAAAGAGTGCAGAGAAGAGCAACTAGGACAATTAGGGGACTGGAGGATAAAACATACGATGAACGGTTGCAGGAACTGGGCAATGTAGTCTAGTGAACAGAAGGACCAGGGGAGACAGGATAGCAGTGTTCCAACATTTGAAGGGCTGACCCAGAGAGGAGGAGTGGGGTCAAGCTGTTTTCCAAGGCACCTGAATGCCAGACAAGGAATAATGGATGGAAGCTGAACCAGGAGAGATTCAACCTGGAAATGGGGAATTTTCCGACAGTGAGAGCATTCAACCCATGGAACAGAAATTGCCTTCAGAAGTTGTGGGAGCTTCATCCCTGGAGGCTTTTAAGAAGAGAGTGGACTGCCCTCTGTCAGAAACGGTGGTGGGCCTCCTGCTTGGGAGGGGGGGTGTTGGACTAGATGACCTTCAAGGTCCCTTCCAACTCTGTTCATCTCTCTATCTTTCGGCATTGGGTGGGCCACCCATAAGCAAGACAAGAACGAGGCTCAAGAGAAAAGATTTTTTTAATGCATTCATGGCCTCCTCTCCTTTTCCCAGGTTCAGTTATTGGCCATGATCTTGTCTGCCCAGGCACGCAAGGCACTGACCCGACCGTAGACAGCCGGTGTGCTGGTCGAGCAGCGGCTGCTACCCCAAGAAACGATGCCCACCAGCTTCCAAATATTGCCATTCTGACACACCAGCGGTCCACCAGAGTCACCCTGCAGATACCAAAAACAAAACAAAAAAGGGGATTTGAGTTCCTTGGAGACCCCACTTTGTTTGGGGGTGGGATTGGCCCCAATTTTCCCCACTTGGCATCTGGAAGCCAAAAGATCTTGCAGGTTCAGCTGAAATGTGGGCTTAAAGCACGTCGAACCAAGAACCGAGTCAGTGAAAACATTTGTGCCACCCACTAAGCTTGTCTGGTGTAAACCTGGTTAGTTTCTGTGTGGCTTGTTTAAACTTGCCCGCTTTGGTAGTTTATCATGCACGTCTTGAATAACTGAGAAATTGGGGCGAATGATTAATTCAACTAATCCATTAATTAATGTGAACACAACTACTGTTTCTTTTATAGATCATCCTTCAACTCCAACATGGGAAAAAATGGTAATCCCCATCTGACCCAAGGCTCCCACACACACATAAAAAAAATGTTGGGTGACCTTTAGTCTCTAACTTGGATTAAAAACATTTTCCTTTAAATCCCAACTCATAAGGAAATAGAACTGCTATATTTGGGCTGTAATCCTCCAAATGGCCACTAGAGGGCAGCAAAGGGCACCAAAGTTGTCTAGACCAGTGGTTTTTAACCTGTGGTCTGCAGCCCCCTAGAGGGCCATGATGCTCTCACAGGACTGAAAGCTTGTAGAATGAAATCTCAAGATAAGATTTTGGGGTCTATGGCAGAGTCCCTGGCCACAAAAGGTATTTAAAGGGTCTGTGGTGAAGAAAAGGTTGAGACCCGTTGGACTAGATCTGTTTTAAGATAAGACTGCTGGGTGGGGCGTTCTGGGACTTGAAGTGCAGAGAAGAGCAACCAGGGTGATGAGGGGACTGGAGAATAAAATGTACGATGAACAGTTGCAGGAACTGGGCTTGGCTAGTCTAGTGAAGAGAAGGACCAGGGGAGACAGGAGAGCAGCCTTCCAATATTTGAGGGGCTGCCCCAGAAAGGAGCGGGGGGGGGGGGGTCAAGCTATTTTCCAAAGCACCCAAAGGCCAGACAGGGAATAATGGACGGAAATTGATCAAGGAGAGATTCAACCTAGAAATAAGGAGAAACTTTCTGACAGTGAAAACAATCCACCCATGGAACAGAAGTTGCCCTCAGAAGTTGTGGGAGCTTCATCCCTGGAGCCTTTCAAGAAGAGATTGGACGGCCACCTGTCAGAAATGGCGTAGGGTCTTCTGCTTGGGTGGGGTGGGGGTTGGACTAGATGGCCTCCAAGGTCCCTTCCAACTCTGTTAATCTGTTAAATCCACCTATTTTAAAACGGATCCAGACAACTCTAATCCTTTGCTGCCCTCTAGTGGACATTTGGAGAGCTTCTTATCACAGCTTCTTAAAAGTTGCTGAGGTTTAGATTTTTGCAAGCCCAATAAGACTAGCCTAAAAAAGAGCAATACGCCAATGGCGGAGATTTGGTGTGTGTGTGTGTGCCTGTGTGTATTGCGCTCACCATACAGGAAGAAGAGCCTGCTGCACCGGCACAGACCATCGAGTCAGTGATTTTGCTTCCCCAGAATTCACTGCACTGCTGATTGGACAGGAGAGGCAGGGCTGTTTGTTGCAACTTGCAAGGGGTGTCGAAAGCTGCAAGAGAAAAGATTAAACTAGCGGCTAGGAGGTTTCCAGTGTAAAGGATCTCATCCGTCTTTGGCTGCTCTCTGGCCTCCCCTGAGCTCAGAACTCACCCCCAGAAGGCTGATCAGCTGCTCCGTGTTAGATTTTTCTTAGCCCCCCCCCCCCCCCATCCCTGTTGGCATCATGCTGGAGATACAACAACACCCCTTTGGCCTATGATTGCAACCTGAAGTGCTTGCAGTCGACAGAGAGAAATCCGTTCATCTTCCTGTTTCCCCTGCCTTCCCTTCCTCTGTTATTCCCCCTCAGCTGAATTTCAAAAGTCAACGTTTCAGGGCAGGATTTATGTTTTTTGTACTTCAATGCCATGCAATGTTGGAAGTTAAAACCCACCCGACCCTGCCTAGAAAAATGAAATACTTTAGGATATATCTAAAAGGCAGAATAGTTCCCCTAAAAGAGAGGTAGAAATTCAGAGAGGCAGAAACTCAGCCCGCTCCCACCTTTGCTAACAAGGCCTGGGCCAGTCTATTCTACATA